CAAACATTTTACAGCAGAAGAAATACGAATGACACAAACAGATGCCCTGCTTCACTTATCATTAAGAGCAAACACATTAAAAACTACACTAAGACACCATTTTTTTTTCACCTATGAAGTTAGCAAAAATGCCAAAGTTTGAGAACACGCTGTGCTGGAGAAGCTGCTGGGGAGCAGGCTCCTGCGTTGCTGACAGAACCCACCTTGGCATCCCACCCGGAAGGGCAATCTGGCAGCATCCACCAAAGTTAAAATGCGTGTAGCTCGTGATGCCACCGATTTCTTCAATTTATCCTACCGACAGACTAACGAGCACAACTTGAAAATGACACAGTTATTCAGCAGGGTATTGTTTGTAAGAACAAAAGACTGAACAACCAAAGTGACAGTCACAGGGGACTGGTTAAGTAAATCACAACACATCTCTACAGAAGAACATGATGCTCCTGTAGAAATGAATGCGGAAGCGACACAGGCACAGAGGAAAACTGCATTACATGGAAAAAAGGTTCGTGACAGTGCATACTGTACTGCGCCAAGGAGATAAGGCCCACAGAGTCAGACAGGGCGGGACAGAAGAAGGGTTACAGTTATTCATATGAAAAGTACAGTAATTAAATAATAATGCAAGAATAAACGTGCATACTCACAACTGTTAACTTACTTTTGCCCCACGCTGTATGTGCATATACAAGAAAGAGACCCCCAAGAAACTGGCAAGGGCTGACCCCTTGCAGCACAGGCTTCCCCGCTAGGCGAGTGTTCTAGGAACACAACTGCACCAGTGCATTAGCTGGTGTTGTGAGAGACTGCGTTCAGCTTTAGCGAATGTTTTTGGAAGACTCTTCCAACGTGTTTGCCTGTTCCTGGGTGGGTGATGTATGAGCGGGCCTGCCCACACCGCACTGTGTTCAGCAGTTTTTGACCAAAATGGCATGATCACCCTCACCCTGTACACCACCTTCCCTATTCATTTAATCTTGCCGTGAGCAACTCTGTTTCCCTTGGTGAAAAACGTCCTGATAGGAAAATGATGTGCCAATGTGGAAGAGGTGAAACAAAAAACAGCAAAAGCATGAAAAGGCATCAAAACTGATGAGTTCAAAAACTTTTGAGCAGTGGAAAAACCTTCTTGATAGGTGTATTCCGTCAAATGGAGAGTACTTGGAGGGTGACTGAAGTTTAAACATGTAAGAATAAACACACAATTTTTTATAAATAAATTCTGTTCTCTTTCAGTCACTCTTTGTACACACACTATGTCTGGAAGAGCAGACAGCAAACTAGTAGAGGTCACTTATCTGTGGGGAGACGGGGGGGGCAGGGTGGCTGGGTGATGGGATGCAGATTTAGGGGTAAAAGAGACCTGTCCGGAAAGTATCGAGCCATGCAGTAAGAAAAAGAGAGGCATTTCTTGAAGATACAAGATACAAGAGACATTGTACAAAGGACAATGACACCTCAGTCCCCTTCAAAGTAGGCACCTTGGGACCTCACACAGTTCTCCCAGTTGCCATCAGCTGCCCCATCATATTTTCCTGAATCCCATCAACAGTCTAAAATCTCTTCCCTTTCAAAGGTGATTTTAGTTTTGGGACAAGCCAGAAGTCACAGGGTGCCAAATCTGGGCTGTAGAGGGGCTGAGTTACCTAGGTGATTTGATGTTTTCCCAAAAATCTCTGCACAAGATGTGATGCATGAGCAGGCGTGTTGTGTGATGAAGCTGCCAATCATGAGTTGCCCATAGCTGTGGCCTTTTGAATCATCTGAATAGTTTCCACAGAGGAATGTTCAAGCGCCACACAAAATTTGATGCAGATTTGTTGCTCTGCTTGTTTAGTCATTTTGAATGCGACGGCCACACAGTGCACATGCTCACTCAATGATGTCTACCACCCCCACTATTACAGTGAAAGCGTCATTGTTCACGCACGAACGTGCATTCTAGTCCACTCTCCTTGGCTGCCAGGTTACACCAATGTTGTGCAAACTGTTTTCATTATACTAACAATGGCTGGACTTTTCCCAGACAGACTATATGTATAATGTATAATATATATTATATATAAATTATATATAATTTATAACTTTAAACTTTTTGTTTTAAAATTGTGTCAAGTACTATTCAAAAATTAATTAACAACTTTTTGAAAACACTTGGGTCTGATTTTTTTTTTATTTCTCTTCTGCCTTCTGGGGGGATTATCAGCTATCATTTCTTGCAGCCCCCATCCTCCCATCTGCCCTCGTGCAGGGGCAGAGGGTTAAGGCAAGTGAGGTTAGACAAAAGGGGCGGATGGATACTGCCCCTCAGGTAAACGAATGTGGACTTTGCAATAGCTATTATGAATGTCTGGAGGGTTGCCATTCAGGCAGCTTCTGAGGCTTTTCTCCCGATTCCCTGCCACATTTTGGATGGAGACACAGGCCAGGAGAGGAGAGTGGACAGAAAGAATGCCTCCTCTCCTGCACCCCAGTCTCCTGCAGGGCCTGGCAGAGGAGGGAAGGGTCGCCTTCCCTCCCGAAGGCTTTTCACAGAGCAGTGGAGGATGGAAGTGGGTCAGGAGGCTGCCGCCGAAGTTCCTGGGCTGCAGCAGTGGGGAGGCGAGGGGGGGGGGGGGCTGGTGATCTTCAGTGCACAGAACCCTCAGGAGGAAGGACAGTAGGCCGTGCAGGAACAGAGTACGGCAGGGCAGCCAATGTAAGGAAGAGCGGAGACGTTGAGGACAGGAGCGCTTCAGCCTGGAGCGGGTGTCAGAGCACCCTGAGCAGCGAGGAGAAGGGGCATTGCTCAGGACTCAGGCCACCGCAACTGTGGTCCCCACTCAGCCACCCACGTGGGGTAGCCTAGCCAAGCGAGTTCTCAGAGCCTCCGCTTCTTCACTTCTCAGGGGGTAATCTAGTTCCCACACAAAGCATTTTTACAAACACAGCCTCACTTAATCTTCACAACAACCCCATGAGAAGGAACTATTAATTTTCTAGATGGGGAAATTGAGGCTCCAAGGGCTTTGGTAAGTTGCTCAAGGTCACAGAGCCAGGAAGAACTGCAGTTAGATCCCATGTCTCCAGGAGCTGGAGTCTGTCTTTCTTAGCTACTACATTAAAAAAGTAAAGTATTCCACAATGAGTACCTCAATGAATACTTCAGCCAATAAGGCAAACTTATGTTCATTCTGGGGATCATCAAATGTAATAATATTTTCCAATAAAATGTGCGAAAAATGAAAAAAAAGTAAAGTAAAATACTTGATTCACAATCAGGTATATATTCTACAATATAAACACTTGTAGTTCCCAAGGTGATTCTCAACTTGCAGACGTACAAGAAACGACTGTGCTTTCCCTAAGCTTCTGGCACTCAGGGGTAGGAAAGGTACCAGAGGGAATGAGCACTGTGTAACAAAATATAGCCTCTCAGAACTGAAAAATACAGGGTCCGGCACAAATACTGTCCCTTTTTTAATTATAAAATATTTTATTAAAAAATCACAAGCATGTTATTCTGTAATATGACAATATCACACTCAAGCACACCATATGACATTTTAGGTGAAATGTTGAAATTAAAACTATAATTTATTACACCCATATTATTACCCTACCAACCACACTCAAGCAGGTGTTACTTCTGCCAGACCCTGTATATCTATAACAAGCCTATTCCTGCATTTGGGCCAAGCATGTAAATTAGAGTTAATATAGTCCACGGCTAAGGCACATTTTCTGGAGAGGACTTAGAAAGTGGTTGTGTATTTATCTTTGTACTGTGCATGAGGTGATGCAGGATTTTTTGAGTTACACTTAAAAACTCACTATATTTATAACGGACTAAGCAAGAAAGTTAGGCATTGATGTAATGTCCAAGGTTCTCTCTTTAAAGATTAGATCTTTGACTCTAAAGCTATTTCAGAGGGGTTTCCATTTCAGTTTTCACCTTTGGAGCTTTGAAAATGGATTAGAAATTGAAGACCTCAATAAGAAGAGATCATAGAAAGAATAGTTGTATTACCAGTGTCCACAGATACAGCCTTTCCCTGCATGGCCAAAATTGCACTGTGCAGCGTAAAAGAAGACAGACCAGAGAGTTTCTCATTAATCGCTCATAATTCTTTATTATTCCTTCTCAGATCACATGGGTAGACCCGATTATAGTAGATGGATATTGAAAATTCCATTGATAATCTGATTTACCTATAGATTTTACATGAGACAAATCATTCCATGTAGAAATTCTAATATAAATTCTTTCAATTGGTTCATTGAAAGTAATAAGGGATTGCTCACAATATTGATTAGTGAATTATCTTAATCGGTAAGTAGTATGTGAGGTTTGCCGAGATAAGCCCCAGAGGAATATCATCAAGAGCCTCTTGTGTGGTGACTACGATTACATAATCATGATTTCTAAAGTTTACATCATAAATTTTCCAGGACAATCATCTTTTCCAAGTACTCATGCTATCCAGAATATGTGCCTTTATTTTATTTTTAAAAGCTCATCTTTTTTATGGAAAAATACATGATACATCCCCATTTTATCACTTCGCTCTTTCCTTCCTACTCTTCTTCTTAACTTATCTATACGTCTAGGTTTCTAAAAGATATTTTTTTCACTTGTACAGCTAAATGCATGCATAATCTATTTTTTTTAACTTTCAAATATGCAAACATCTAAAATTTTGGAAAGGAAATGGATGCAACAGACATAAAGACACACAAACAAAGAACACCCCCAGTATGTACCATTCTAGGAACAAAAAGCACCCCCTAAAATGGCAAAATAAAGCAAGGCAAGCACAAGCAGGACATACTTTAATTGGTACCAGCTACCCACAAGCTGCACTGCTATTTCAAGTCTTACATTTGAGAGCTGGGGGGTTAGATCAGGTGGGTTTCAGCATGTGCTGTCTAGAGGACTCTGATTCCTCGGCAGAAAAACAGAATCCAGCAAGCCGGTCCCAGCAGAGATGCCCCCCTGAAGCTGGACCGTCCCTCACCTGCTCCCCTTCTCTCCTCTCTCCCCAGAAGAAGGCACTTCACGGAAACGTCTGGGAAAGCCCTTCGACTTTATTTTGTTACACCCTCTAAATGGACAAAAAAAAGAGAGAGAGAGAGAGAGAGAACAGGTGTAGAAGACAGTACTTTCAATTGGCCACCATGAGTTCTACACAAATGCCCGCCCTCCCATCTAACACAGGCACCCCCTCGGTAAGCCTTTTTTGGGACATTTTCAAAAGAAAGCTTATACACAAGAGTGTCTGGTTTTATTAAGGCTTTTTTTTTTAATGGTGAGGTAAGAAACACGACATGGAAACTTTGCTCTAAAAAGCTGTCTTCGTATACTAGAAACCTGTATCACCCAGTGTTAACAGAAGGTTACAGTATCACAAACCCAGTAATGACCTTTCCCATTCATATACCTATCTTTCCACCTCTCACATGCTCTCCTGGCAAAGAGGATGGCCTAAAATACCACTGGAATAAATAGAACATAGTAGGCATCTTGTGGGTACCATCTGAACCTCCCTTCTGCCACAAATTTCTCTGAATTTAGTGTCTTTCCCCATGTATTACTCTCACTGCTGGACAAACACTGTCCTGGTTCACAATACGGACTTTGCAAGACACAGGAGGGGGAAGGCAGGGCAAGCAGCTGTCATGTTATTACTGTTCGCTAGGTCTGATATTTAGTTCCCCTTAAAACTTGGCTATAGCAGCTGAGACTTGGCTCTAGCATTCAAAAGAGGCTCTCTGGTCACAAGAACACTAGAAAGCATTTAATTAACTTTACTTGATCCCCTAACAACCTGGGCTGTAGAATTTCATACTGACATGGTTCCTATTATTTCCAACCTTTGTTAATAGTACAGCAAAGACAAAATGAGATATGCAAAGGTTCTCTCTTGGGGCAGCTCTGATGAATTCCTTGGAGAATTCTGAATTCAGGTGTGAAACACCCCTTTTTACTTCTAAGAATGAACATCCTCTAATTCTCAAGTGTCAGATGTGTTTTTTCTCCCTTAATTCTGATAATGATTAGGCTCCGTATTTAGGGTAAAAGTGCTTGGCACAGGAACCAAAATTGGGAAAAATAAAAATGTGGGAATGTGATTAATACGGGGCGGGGAGAGGCGAAGCGTGCTGTAATTCAGGACTTCTTGTCTCCCTCTATAGAGCACATTCTGGAACTACAACTGTCCCTAAAACACCAGGAACATACTCAGTGCGGCTACAAACATTAATCTGAAAAAAATCATGAGTGTGTTGGAGTGTTTTTGCAAATTTTCATAAAAACTTGAAATTTGCAGCTTCCTAAAATATTTAGACTTCTTCTCAACCCTTAGCCCTACTCTGAATCCTGCCAGATTCACTGTTGCGGGAATTTTGGAGCAGAGCCTGCATCTCCGCAGTTTTCCCTCACACACAATCACAGGCGCTTAAAACTCCCACCCGTAAACTGGCAACACTTTGCTTTGAAGCGAATGCCAGCAAACCAATAACTAATATCTCAAATAATTGAGGGGGCTACCTGAGCAAACTGACAGACAGATACAATCAATCCTGGGAGAAAGGACACTTCATTCTAAGAAATCTAAAGAAAGGTGTTGGCTATGTGCATCGACTGAGCATATATGGAAGCGCTTTTCCTGAAACGTGAGTTAGGTTTGAAAACGTGTCCATCTACTCCTTCCTTCCCAGAATCAGTCTGTCTTTTAAGTATCCCGGCTACGTTTAAGTGGCAACCTTTAAGCAGTGAATCTCTCCCTGCTTTTGTCTAATGATATCATGTTAGCCTGTTCTGAGAGCTCTGACTGGTATCTCAGGGCCAACTCAACAGCAGGGGGCTGGTTACTATAACAACTGACGATTCTCTCGAATTCTGAAAGGCCCCAGGGTAGCCACTTGGGAAACAGTTATTGAGCAAAAAGTTGCCTGGATCAGTGGCATCAGTTGCCACAGGACACAGATCTCTTTGCACATGGCTGCACGAAAACGGAGAAAAAGGTGCCCACCTCCAGGAACAGCTGGGAAATCAAGGCTCCCCATCCCTTTGCCTTTTAGCATCTCAGAGCCAGACAAGGTAACGGCACTCATCCTGACCTCAAACCCTGGGACAAGCCATATTTGGACATCATGAAGTGCACCTTAGCTCTCCCCACTGGCTTGACACATTTTCAGGTTTTAAAAAGCTGAACTGTAAAAATTATTCCTAAGGATTATAAATTTATTGAAATGTGGCCACAGAAAGAGAGGCCTATTAGGGCCTTCATCAGTTCTGAAAGAAAAAATGATGGCAGAATACATGCGGTGCCACGAACAGTCTGCACAAAAGATAAAGGTGATCATATAAACCCACCAAAAAATATGACTTGAAAGCTCAGATTTTTCTAGACTTGAGAAAAGTTGCACATGAACCTCCCTTTTGTTTCTTATTTCCTCCCTTGCAGGACTGACCCCATGCCTCTGCACAGGAAGAATCCCCTGGAAAAGAACAGGATTCTACCCATGAAAGCGGACATTGTTTTGCAGAGAGAAGGGCAGTCTGAGGGTGTTTTCTCTCTGACAGTCCTGAACACACCACCACCGTGTGCCTCTTGGTTCGCTCTGACACAGTTCCCTCGGCCTGGAGGATCTGTCCTTGAAAATCACAGCCAAATGTTCTCTATTCCAAGAAGCCTTTCCAGCTCCATCTCTCTCCCACCTGACCTTGGTGGTGGTCAGAGACTCTCCCAAAGCACAGGCTGACTGGCACCACCCCCACTGAGCCTTGGGGGGCCAGGCAGGAGACGAGGGGCGGGGGGAAGAAGGCAGAGTGAGGCAGACTGTCAAGAGAGGTGCACTCAATCTAGCCCCGCAGTGCCACAAGGATGTGGGATCAAGGTTGCCAGCTCTCCCAACTCATTCCCAGAACCCAGACGGCTGGGGTTTTAAGTAAAATCTTCCCATTTTAAAAATAATCTGGATTTTTGAAACAGTGTCACCTAAATAAAACAGGTCTGGAGGCCACCAGGTCTGGAGGACAGTTTTGACCTCTGTCTGTGATAATCTGTTTACCTGCTCATCTTCTCCCTTAACCTACAAGCTCCTTGAAGAAAAGAACTCTAACTCCTCACCAAATCTCTAGCGCCTGCCATAAACTAGATGGTTAAGAAATGTCTTTGAATGACCGAACAAAGGGAGGAATAAAGGGGTCAGCCATAAAGGGTCTTAGCAAACCCTAGGTGCAAGTACCTTCAAAACATACTAGCTGTGCGATCCTGGCAAGTAATTTCCCTTTTGGAAACTTTCTCCGTTAGGAAGAAGGTAGGATACAGTCCCGGCTGCCTTGGTTATCACATCTGGCTGCTGTGAGGTTCAATAATGTGGTGTGTGCTTTGCATTAATTCAACCATTATGTGTTGCGTTGTTGTGATTAGTGATGTTTCCCCTTTGCCAATTGTCCAGTCACCTGCACGGAGAAATCATTCCTACTGCACCTGCCTCCTCTGTAGCTTTGCTGGGGAAAGAAGAACAAACGTCTGAACTATACCGAGTCACCACTGAGTAAACTGGAAGTGTCAGCTGCCAGGCAAGATGGAAGGGCAGTGTGTGCCCAGCTGCAGCGGCTCTGAGTGTCTCGTTGCTACCACAGGAATACTACCTGGGGGGCCCATGTGGTCAGCCACTCCATGAGCGAGAGGGGTTACCACGTGCTCACACTTGGCTTTCACACACGTGTTTGCTGGAGCCTCCATTATGCCAACACAAACCCCACACACATTTGCGGTCTGCACCCCTTTGTATTAATTACCCTGCCTCCCACGGAACATCCAGGGGAGAAAAATGCGCAAAGTCAACAAAACTCACTTGTTTTCATGAACAGCATTCTTAATGAGGAGGCACCAACACATGGCAACATTTCTGCAGGTCTAAAGATGGGAGTAAAGGAGAGACTTTTTTTTTTTTTTTTTAAATCTGCCTCTGAAGCTAAATTGCTATTTACTGATTTACCACAGAATTTACAGATGGCCTGGTCATGTGCTGAGCAGGCAGATGAATTTTTCAGTCAAGAGTGTGAAATCCTTCTAATACCAAATTTCAACAAACCTGGGTCAGTGTTACAATTCCCACATATAATTTCTAGTTTTCTGTTCCAGAGTCTGTATAGTTAGTTCAGCCCTGTCTGAGAAGTAAAGCTTCTTCTACCCTTCCTTCTGGAAAGTTTTCTAAGTTAGCATTATGGTCAGTAAGATGCTCAATTTGTCATCAAATTAACTAGGATGAACAGTTGGGACTAAGATAAAACAAACAGATTATATTAGGCTTCCAAATCTATTCACCTTCTGGAACATCTGAACATACATAGTTGGTGCTCTCAAGTTTTCTTCCATAAATTTTGACGATTGCAAACCACTGGATGTTTTCGACACAAAAAACATGCTCTATAAAGCAGCCTGTGGAAGGAAGTAAATGCCTCTGGGCGTCCACTCCTCCTCCAGGCAAAACAGCGTAATGATTAAGATGATGGTCTGTGCTGTCAAACTGGCTGGCTTCACAGTCAGGGTCTACCCACAGACTGACCCTGTGACTTGTGCGTGCCACCGAACCTCAATTCTCTGATCTGCAAAATGGAGGATATAATTCCTACATCAGGAGGGAATGTAATCTGCTTAGCACATGTCTGGTAGGATAAATATTCAAGGAAAGATTCCTGGCTATGTAGGTCTTCAGATATATAAAGCCATTTCAGGGGTAAGACCTTGCTGATCAGAGAGAGAAGAGCTACATTCAAAGCAATTTTCCTCAAGATTACGGGGGAAAAAAGCCCACCTAAGTGAAGAATGTTTTCGCAATACTCATAATTTTAAGTGGACAGTAATGTCTTGCTCACAGTAACTGAGCTATTCTCTGGAAGAAGTTAATAAAAGTAAACATGTTGTGTGCCCGACCGTGCTGATTGGACACCTGGCACACAGTGCTTCCCTTAGCATCTACTGCAAATTGTGCAAATCATCAGGAAACCTTCCTCCAAATGTCCCCTTCATTCTGAATGGCTGCAGCCGTGCTACTCCACGTCGTTTCAGGGACCCGAGCTCATTACTGA